CTGGTATCTGCCTAAATCAGTTTGCCCTGAAGCATTAGTTTTACCTAAATGTATGCCTTCAAAAGAGCACACTTTTATTCCAGCATCCGAGTTGTCGGCTGATGTCCTCATGAGCCATGTCTCAAAAAGAGGCTTTTTACACTCAGCAGCCTGAGTGCCTTGGATTTCCCCTTTTTTGTGTACTTACTATTCTCTTCATGAAAGATGAAATGATGAAAGCTGAAAGTTGTGGTAATGCACTCTAAATAAATCATTAAAATGCATTTATTGGACTGAAGAACCGATGTCTGGCTGGTCGTAGTAGCTTTAGCAGCAAATCACTGGATATCATGTAGCTACTATGATGCTACGTATGTTGTTTTACATTATACAGTAGGCTGGGGATATTTCTATGAAAAATGCATCATCTTCATGTAATTCATTTTGTACTGACAATAATAAAGGAAACAATATCTCCCAGGTTAAATTAAGAGAGTAGAGAAAGGAAGTAAAGAGAAAATGACGCAAGAGTGATTAGGTGATGGGGCTTCATTTTCTTTATTTGTCAACGGCCTCTTTCTGACAAAAGCCATTTTTCTTTTATGCAGCATAATACAGCAAACAAATGCTGCTTGGGTTATAATGTAACTGAACTACTCAAGCTGTTCCATTGCACACTACTTCACTGCTAAACCTCAGAGGAATATGCTGTAATTTTTGCACAGTCATTTGGAGCAATTAAATGTGCAGCAAAAAGACTAAATACAAAGACAAAATGAGTGCTTTTATAAAATATAATACAAAATACTTAAAAAAAGGATTTATTAGAATCATGCATATAACTTTAAAATATGGCAGACATATTTGGTTTACTTTGATTACACCAATATATAGAGCAAGTCATGGATAATAAATATTGCTTGATAAATGGACGTGAATATTGAGTGTATTATATAATATTATATTACAGTATATTTCTATTTAACCACACAGCTTGAAAGAAAGGTAGATTAGAAATGTAGGAGTTAAGTTAGAGGTCAAATGCAACATGATATTCGGATGCAAACTATAATGTGATATTTGTAAACCATGTATACCAGTATCATTTCCAGAATGTTTCCAAGTGCAGTAGAATTTTAAGCACAGTTTTAAAGATAAAAGTCATTTTATGAAAGTTTCACCTTATTTGACCTTGACAGAGAAGTCATAAGTGCAAAATCACGTGATATTTAGAATCACCATATATCATTCCCTATATGCATAAAAAAGTGCAGTAAGAAACATGGTTCTATATAGCTCTATCTATCATTATTATCATTTGGACCTCCAGGTCGAGCTACTGACCCTGAAGGAGAGGTCAGAGGTCAAATGTGACATGATGTTTGAAATCTTTATATGGTACTTTCTATATGTTGACAATAAACACCACACTTGGAAGAATCATAGTTTCTAAATTACAAGGATTTTTGTCAATTTTTAACTGACAATCCAGTAAACTGAGCTTGAAGACTTTGGAGAATGTAAACTAAGTTTGGATGGATTGTTAACACGAGCCCATGCTAAACCCCTACAAAGTTTTACCAGAATTCAAAAAAAAGAAGACGAAAACTTTGAGCTGTCATGTTCGTAGACACACACACAACCAAAAACATAACCTCCGTGGCAGAGGTAATTACACACTATTTTGGAGTCCATCATGGATTTTCAACCTCCTCTGATAATACATATGTGATGATGACTATTCTCACTCTCAAATGAACACCATCAAACACTCCAGGGGCCCGTTCTTCGTACGTCGCTTACTACATCCAAGATCAAATGACACATCCAAGATCAAATGACACATCCAAGATCAAATCATCGCGCTAACCGTGAGCTCGCTAATCCGGTTCCCCGAACACACCTGCTGTTGACGATTAGTACAGCTGGACGCAGTAATGTGACATCACTGGGTGTCGTAAAAGGGGCTACGCATCGATAGTAGAAACATTGATCGGCAACCCTCTGATTGGTCGGCGAAAATGTCGAAGGAGTGCGCTCGGCTCGGTATTTTCCGGCAGCAGAGCAAGAACTCCTGAGTGAGGGATTTCAGGAGTTTCAGAGTTTAATCAGAACGCAAGGGAACACTGCAAAGGCTGCAAAAGCAAGGAGAGAGGGCTGGCAGAAAGTTGCTGACAAATTAAACTCGTAAGTAATTTAATAATAATAATAATAATAATATATTGGATTTATATAGCGCTTTGCAAGGCACCCAAAGCGCTTTACAATGCCACTATTCAGTCACTCTCACATTCACACACTGGTGGAGGCAAGCTACAGTTGTAGCCACAGCTGCCCTGGGGCAGACTGACAGAAGCGAGGCTGCCATATCGCGCCATCGGCCCCTCTGGCCAACACCAGTAGGCGGTAGGGTAGATGTATTATATTACACTATATTATCCAATATTATATTACAGTATACTATATTGTTATATTATATCCTCTTTCACATTAGAGCCACAACAGGACCCACTAGAACATGGGAACAAGTAAAAGTGAAATATAAGAATATTCTATAGAATGGTAATATTTATCACTTATATTGCTTTTCGTCTCTTGGAAAGAGACCCTGAAATAATCTGTTTGTTTGTTCATAACAGCAACCAAGAAAAGGGCAGAGCAAAAAAAGACAGGTGGTGGTCCTGCACCCCCTCGTCAACAAGTTGGTTAAGTGAATAATATCCTCACGGGAAAATCGATATCTCTCAATGAGCACACTGTCGCGCTGAGCTAAAGGATCCTGTCTATCCCGCAATATACGCTGAATTCTGAGGACTCTCCTTATCAATCTTGCACCTTCCGCAATGGGTGGCTCGCGTAAACGGACAGGACATGGCTGCGACAGGCTTCCCAAATCCACCTTGGCTTTTATAGCCGTGGTCTCTCATCTTGATTACACGAAGTAATTTACAATTACTACTCTGAAATATGAATTACATCTGTAATAATCACATACATGTAATAGAATGTTAATAGTACATTTCCCTTTTTTAGGAAATGACCTGTATGTATCTGTGTGACATCAATAAAAGGATCAAGTGCTGCATTATCTTTAGTTACATTGATGTTATTTATTTATGGTGAAACAGTGGTGGAATATCGCTGTTGCTTTCGTATAAATGAAGCGGACATACCTGCGTGGCCGCGATCTAATCCTGTTTACATAAAGTAAACCTGCTCCCGAGCAGGTTTACGCTTACGGCTCTGTTGCTATGACAGCAAGTCCCGGATGGGCTTCGGGGAACCGACTGATCCAGGATCACGCGAAATCGTCAACAATCTAATCCGGCTAACCTACTTAGCGAGGTACGAAGAACAGGCCCCTGGTCATCACCTCATCCAATCTTTTAAGATTAATAGGTTAAACCTCAAGTTCTTCAGACTCAGAACTGTTTAATTCCCGTATCCTTTTCAAGTCTTACAATCTACAATTAATTTGCCCACACCCACTTATCATATTTCCCATGTTACTTGAATATCTTATTATGCTATCTTTGTCACTGTTTGTGTAATTTGTTTCCAGCTGCATTTTTCAGTTTCTCTAACTGTTAATTTTCTGTTGACATCATCTCACCGCTCCCCCACTCCCAGCCCAATCACGTGCAATAATCACATACATTTCCACATCCTCCCATCAGCTGTCTCACAACAGTGACCTTGAGCAGCAGGCTGCTGATTGGCTTCTGTGTTGATGATTTGGAGGTCACAAACCCCAGCACTTGGAATTAATGGACTCTGCTTCATGACTACAGGGCCCTCGACACATAGATGCCCACATACACAGATGCCACGGCTAGTAATAGACGGTCAATGGGAGTCACAGCCCTTACAAACCTAATTATGTGAGCCAATGGCAGGCATCAGCCAGGGAGTAGTCGCTATGACACACACATAAACATACAGACCCGATCACGGCAGCACAGAGATATACCTACAGGTCATGTCCACTGGCATTGCTAACTCTTCTAAAAAGTATAACACTTTAGCCAGTGACAGGTGTAGGCAGTGAAAAAGTGCACACACAGCACCATCTGGATCACGTGCCCACGAATGTGACGACAGCACAAGACAAAAATCAGCTGTAGTGTTGGATCGTTTGTAAAATAACAAGCTGCAGACAATTTGGACTAGGACTGAAAAATGCAGGTCAAACCACCATAAATCATATAAAAGCAATGCAAAAACACAAAAAAATGACACCAAGAAGTGCTTATTACAGAACTAATACCCATATATACCCTATGCACAAACACACAAAACAAAACGCACCGAAGAGAGTGCACTGCCACATTTACAAGCACATACTCCAACAACTATTTAATTTCCCTTCAAGCTTCGAGTACACAAACAGTTGCTCTTGTTGAGCTATATTGCTTCTTAAATCCCAACAGCTAATTTGATCTGGGGTTTAAGGTTACTTATTACAGCCCGCAGTGCACTCCACAATATATATATATATATATATACACACTAATTAGAAGACAGTATTTGTCTCTGTTGACAGACTTTCAGAGCTACGATGTTCTAATGAAGACTTATTCAATCTAATGTGATGTGCTTAATCAGCTGGCAGATGTAATATGAAAAGCTGGGCCTGCTTTTAGGATAAACTGGTTTCCCTGAAAACTGTCAGTCGGGTGTGCCTAGTTATTGTTTTACGCTGTACCAAAATAAGAAGAATGACACTGGTTATGATGCAAGAAGGTAGCCGATGCAGGGATAAAGGAAGACCAATTATAGCTGACCTTCTGCTACACTTCTCAGAAAGTAAAACTTACAAGCTCGTATAGATCTATAGAATTACAGCTAAACAAAACAATCTGTTATACCCTCAAGTGTAAAACTCCAAAGTACCTTGGAGCATTTTCATCTCTCTTTGGATCTCTAGTCAAATAACAATTTACACATTTAAGCTTTATTGACTTTTTCCCCAAATGGTTGATAGCAAGTGAAATAATGGAGGAAGTCAAATATAGTCTTACCTGTGCATTTCTTCAGGCTGCCAGGCCGTTTACCATGCATTCCCAGTTTACAGTTAAAGTTTTCCTCCCAGAATTCAGCAAACCAAACATTTCTTCTGTTGTTGGACAGCGAACGGCTACGGAAATACCGGTCAAATGCTGTGTAAAAGACAGACAGGGCAAAGGTTAAAAAGTATGAAAATGAGTTATTATTTTTTTTGTTTTTCTTTTTAAAACTCTACTGGATACATCTCCCTATTTATTTTGTTTAGAAGAGCTGCTTTCGGCACTTTCAACCCAGATATTGTTAAATGGCGTAATAGGAGAGGGCACCAGTGCTTCAGGGGTTATTGGCTTCATTTCTACTGAGCCTGTCTGTGCTAGAAAATTAGGTGTTCAGCACAATGTAATACATTTTGACACATAAATGCGTAGGTTATGAATAGCCCACGTATGGTATGGCTGAAAAGCTATTTTGGTTGAACCGGTCAGTATTGGAGCTCCTATCAAATACTGACGTAAAGAGACAGAAAAGCATACATTTTAAAATAAGCTTCCACAATAGATTGGATACTTGTCCATTTTAATAACAAGATAAGAGGAACTGAAAGAGGGGAACACGTTTCTCCACTCATAGGAATGAAATACCTGTCAGCAAGTGGCAGGGTGGAATGAAGATACGGGCAAAAGAAAAGAGACGTGCAGATGAGAAAAAACTACTTTCTTCATACCATAATTAAATGTGAAAGAAGCTTCTTAAATGCATGGCATTTTATCTGCCACATGAACCTTTTAACAATTCATCAGCTCATCGGCTATCTTTCTTTGTTTCCGTGCAGGGTTAGACTTTCATTTTAGCCGTATGCTACAGTAAAACTTTTACAAACTAGGGGATTTTAGCTTTGACATGAACTCTCTGATATATATTTGAGAAATTTAGGTTTTTGGTTAATGGATTTTTTTTTTCTTTTTTGGATGTTCCAAATATGCAAAAATTCAGTATTGTGCAAAAGCCTCAAACCACCCCTCATTTCTTACATTTTGCTAATATAAAAACTCAGTGCAGTAATTTATTTAAAAAAGATATGCAAAAAAACAGAAATACAGCATATAAGGCAAAAACAGAGTTTTTACATGAGCTTTAAAGTCAGTGTTTGGTATGATCGTCTTTACTCTTTAACAGAGCCCGAACTTCTTAGGCAAGCTGTCTCGTAATTTCTTCAAGTAGTCTTCAGGAATAGTTCTTCAGGTTTCCTCAAGGACATTCAAAGCTCTTCTTGTTGTTGGGTGCCTTTTGTCCTGTGCTCTGTCTCATGGTCCAACATTGCTTCAATAATGTTGAGGTCCAGGCGCTGGGGAGGCCTAGCCATGATTAATGGTGCTCAATTGTGTTTTTTCTGTCCGGGCATGCTTTTGCTGTACTGCCATGTGTTTGTGTTTGGGATCATTGCATTGTCATATTGAAAATTGCTGCCAGTCAGATGCTTTCCAGATGGTGTTGCATGATAGATCAAAATCTAATATATGTGTTCATAATTTCATAAATTCTGACAAGATCTCCGACACCACTTACTGAAATGCAGCCCCAAACCACAACAGAGCCTTCACCGTGTTTTATAGATGCTGTAGACATTCACTGCTGTACCTCTCTCCTCACCTCCTCCATGCACATTTGGTATATCTCATCCTTACCATTTCCCTTCCTTAAGAATGGCTTTTTGACAGCCACTCTTCCACTGAGACCATTTCTGATGAGGCTTCAGTGAACAGTGTCTGTCAGGTCTTTACTGATTTTTCCCTGTTCCTTAAGGAGATGACTTTCCTGAACTGTTCAGCCACTGTAGATAGTTTTAAGCCTGGCACATCTTCTTTCGTCTTCTTGTCTTGCAGAGTTTGCTGAAAGTAGAGTGGACTGAACATGAGTGAAAAAGCAACCCATGTCCAAAGAAAAACTCTGGAAGGCCTTTAGAACATCTGGCTCTTTGGAAGCACAATTTAAAGAAATGAAGCATGGCTCAAGACTTTACACAGTACTTTAAAAGGAGTAGGCTTTTCTCTAACCCAAGTCCTACATCTAACCATAGATGGCTTGTGACCGGGTGGGCAAGAAGAAATGACTGCAAAGAAACATTTACACTTAACTAAGAAGGCGCAACACATGCTCTGTAGTTAAGTGTAACACTGGGCTTGTGAATGATTCCATGTGAGGTGTGACAGCCTGTGCCATGCCAGATTCACTGTAAAAGCTAAAAAGATCTCTCCTGATTAATTCAATGTGCTGTTGTGGAAATGGGTAATGTGTGCACCTGGGATGCTCTACTGATATTTGACTGCTGGGAATATTAGTCTTACTCTTTTTGTGCCTCAACAGTAAGATGTGCCATGTGGAATCACATGCTTCCCATTGTGATAACATTACATTCCTAAAAACAGAAATATAATCATTTGAGGTACTTTGAGGGTCTAAAAAGCACTAACTTAATTCAATGATAATAGAAAAATAGAAGTATTGTTACCAGTTGGGCAGTTGTTTGGAAGCACACCGTTCCTATGATTACATTTTAGATTATATTTTGGTACATCTCATGCACTGCTTTCTTATAGACTGTAAAACAATAAGTTCATATGACATTTTTAGTGTCCTGTGTAATGATACATAGATATAACCAAGCCAACCTGTCCTCAGTCTGAATCAGTGTTGAAACTGAACTCTGTGAACAATGATATATTCATTTAAAACTGCATTTAAGTACTGATGAATAGAGATGAAACCATGTAGACTTTAGTTCTAAAGTTCTTTAAAGGGTAATACAATTTTAGTAAAAATAAAAATAAAAAATAAAAAAAATACTGTAGCATTTATTAAGCCTCTTCCAACCAGCTAAGTAAAGTAATATATCAATGTCTGCCCAGACTCATAATATATGGAGTAAAAATATTAATGGAATTTAATATGTGGCCACCAAAGATTAATGTCACCACTTTAGTATCTGACCAAATTGAAAGTGCTCAACATCTCTGCATCTACTCTTGAATTATGGTGTTGAACAGCAGCCAGAAAGTGTGTTTTTGCAAAACATTAGCATGTCACAGTGAAGCAGAGCGCTCCCCTTTTGGATATAAAATGACACCAGCTAATCATTTTATCCAATTAGATATCTGTGTAAAATTTATTCAAATGAATCAACTTGTGGCAACCCCCCCCCCACACACACACACACACACACTCACACACACACACAAAAATAATCATGATGTCACCGAGATCTTTGACTACCAAATTCTGATAACTATGCTTATTTCCAAGAGAACATTTAAGACAGGTGGAATGAAATTTCCTCCCAGTGTTCCCGAGATATTACATTCACAAGAATAGCACAGGTTGGGTTTGTCAGCTTTGTCTACCTTCAGAAAATAAATGTGTTCACCAGAATAAGTTATACATATGGATTATTTATGTAAAAACATAATGCCTCTGGCCAGGACTGTCGCTGGGCATAAAAAAGTACCTCTGAAATCAACAAAGTCGCTCATATCAGAAATGTTATTTGATGCTTCTGCCTCTAATCTGCAGATTAAATGTGAAGCCTGAGCCTGAAGACAGTTAGCTTAGTTCAAAGACTACTGGATGGGAAAAACAGAAAGCCTTTTTTCAAAGATACAAAAAATATTATCTGGTGTTATATTCCTTATAAAAAATGTAAAAGTGACTCATGCACTGTTGTTGTTTCCTGTGGAAATAAAAGCTAAATTATACAGCATTGGGAGCCCAAAAGATGATTTCAATGAGCTTGTTATGGCATCAGAATAATTCTCAATGCGTGAGAAAATATTTACCTCATGTGCAAAAAGATCCCATGTTTGAGTCTATGTACTGTACTATACTATGTCACTATAAATTACAGTTTAGACACATTTTAAGCTTTATATAACACATGTTGCAGAATTGCTGCATTATACTGCATTCTCTTTCTAGGTGTACCAAAAGAAAAGTCTAGTCATTAATCCTCACTCACATCTCTTCTGTCATTTCTTTAAAGTCGACATAGCCTTTCTTGTGAATCTGTCAAAGCTCCCTTTGATTCATTTAAAGTTCTATTTCTCTCCCTCGCTTCCAGTTTATATCTTGTCACCTATGTGGCCCTCCAGGAGTCAATTATCTAATAGAGAGCTCTGACAGAGAGCAAATGAGGATATTCTCCCTGGTGTATTGGCAAAAACTTGTTGCCCACTGGGATCAAAAGTGAGAGAACATGAGTCCATTTCATTTCTGTCTCTGGTCTTTCCCCTGACTCCTTAATTTGATCTATCAAAGTTTGAGCAGACGCTGCTTCGGCTTTCTTTCATTTGCCACAAATCCAGTTTCAGTGCAGGTGAGAACTACTTTTATTATTCCTCACATCTTCTCAGTTATTACCTGCATGTGTGCTGACAGCTTCGTATATGCTTGTTATTATCCTTACCATCCACAGATGCCCTTTTGGGAAGAATTGTGATGGCCCCCTCGGCCACCCTCTCCTGGCCAATCACAGGGGAGATCTTGGACCCCCAGCTGTCTGAACCCACCCACAGGAAGTGACCCGTCTGGTTGTTCCTTTTAGCTGCATCCAGAACTCGTCTGTTTTAGAAAAAGAAAAGATCATTCAAATATCTGAAGATAGACTACAGCAGACAAGTCGAGCAGTGGGGTATTGATTTAGGCTTAACCCTACATAAAGATCACTGCAGCTTTTTTCTTGTACCACTGCTTATATCTATAACTGATGCAGCAACAGGCAGCATCCGTCTTGCCCGTGAGGAGTGACTCCTTTTTTTTCTATCCATAAAATGTGTGAAAAACATGTCATCAAGTATTTATTTCCAAATCTCAAGCATTCTGGAGCTTAGCATTCTGGACAGCATTTATCTAAAAAGGCTTTATTCTTCAAGCATTTTTGGCAGGACCCAAAGACAAGAGGTCTGATTGACCAGTAATTAAGCCATTTCAGGGGGTCGTATGAGTCAAAACTGCATTTTATAATATTTGATTTTTTTTGTTTAAATCTCAATTTTCATAACTGCCTAATAATTATGTACATCATCATTCAAGATGTAAATGCAATAATTGTGCCTGTAGTATAGTGCGAACTCTTGTCGGTACCACAATGCAACACTTCTAACCAAGTGAGTTGCTAAAGAATAGCGATATGAAAACCAGGTCTTTTGTTCTTCAGAATAACATAATTGTAATCACAGCGAGCATGTAGGTGTCAAAAGGTTTCTATTGTAAAATATGTTGAAAATGTCACAGAAAATCTTATTAAACAAAAAAGTACACCTGATAGCAGCGGGAAAGTTGACCAGCAGGGTTCGTTTTTAAAGTGCACAACACGTACCGTATGTCATCCTCATTAGCGAACATGATGATGGCCCTGGCATTGGAGGTCTCCAGCAGGCGTCTGATGATCTTGTCAAACTCCCCTGGCCTGGGCTCCCTGGGGATCTTCAAGGACTGGGCAATACACACACCACCTGAGACAGAAGAGGGGGGAAAAGCAAAAGGAGGGACAGATTGCATCATCTATTTTAGATTCACTGATTTGCATTTTCCATTCTGTTTTCAACACTAATTTCACTCTCGGGTCGGCTTGTACACATTTCTGAAACTATTCAAAGCACTCTGTGTCGAGGCCTCTGACGAAGGCTTTAACACTTCGAACACCCTCACAGCTTTGAGATAAAGGTAAGAGTAAGTGGTTGGTTAACATGGCAGCAGAGAAAGAAAGCAAGATATTCACTAAAGTCCGGGAAGAGACATGACTGAACGTAAAATAGTACTGGCTGTTCAATACAATTTGTTCTCCAAAAGATTCAAGACAAAAAACATTTGAAAAGATTAAACAAAAACTGACAGGTAAGAGCGGACTAGGTAGGAAGAAAGTAGAGAAAGGGTAGGAGGAATCTGGGGGACTGGGAAATTCTAAGAGAGGAACGCTGAAGAAGAAAAGGGATGTTAAAATTGATACCGAAAAAGACTAAAAGGAAGAAGTGAAAATAAACAGTGGGAAGCTGAGGAGGGGGGAAAAGCAGGAAAGGAGAACGAGCATTAAAAAAAGAATTTGCTAAAATGAATTGAGATGATGGTGGAGGTAGGTGGTGTTGATCACAGGAGAGAAAACTGTAAGAAACAAAGGAAAAGAGGAATGGGGCATGAATGATTTAAAATCACGGCACTGCACAGAGTAAGTGGCAAGAAATATCGTCTGTACCCACTTCACCTCCTTAATTTACTATTGTCGAGTGCAGCAATATTAGTTATTTCACTCACAATATGAGATAATGAAGATTTCTGTCTACCTGGTTCCGCCTTGATCCCTCAGCCCTCTCACACACACGGACACACTGTTGCATACTGTTTTCAGCCACCTCAGGAGGTGGTTTTTTTAAGCTGTTAATTCACTCTGGCTGCATTCAATCATTAGCTATTGTGTAAATTCTTTTTAGCAGTATGTGTGTGTGAGTGTGTAGGATTATGTTATTGTTGTACATTGCCTTTGTTATATCTGTACAGAATTTATGATGGACATTGTGTATCCATGTCTTTTGTGTGTGAGTCTACACATTCATTTCATTCACGTCTCTGGGAATGTCTGTGTGTGTGTGTGTGTGTGAGAGAGAGAGAGAGAGTGAGTGTGTGTGTGTCTGTATATAGAAGTGAGAAAGTATGAATGATGTCCCCTTTCCTCCCTGCCTGTTCCAGACCATTTATTGAACATCTGTACAGTCTGTCGCTTTCACTATGTCACAGCCCTTAATCACACACACGCACACACACACAGACGCACACACATCCACATAAATGCGCACACCGGAGTGCATGAGCGCTAAAACAAATACTCATTAGCCTCAAATTAAAAGCCTCTCAAGGATAATCACTAAAGTGACAAAATCTGCACAAGTACCCACCTCTACCCCACTCCCCTACACACTCGCACATTTACACTCATTCTCACACAGACACACACAAGAAGCAAATATTTAAATGTTCAAAATACGTTCTCAAGGATAATGACCAAGTAGACATGCACTTTTGCATACATATACAAAAACAGCAAATCATAAATAAATTCAGCGTGGCATATGTACACGCATACACTCAAATACACAAGCGCTGACGATTGCATTCTCCCGCCATTGTCCTTGGAGCAGCATAAAAGTGATTAAATCGCTGTTTGTTTCACAGCCTCACAACCATCATTAATAACTGTCCCTGTGGAGAACGAGTTTCCCAGATAAAGAAAATATCAAATATTGTCTGTAAACTTAAGAGCTTCTCCACACACGCGCGTGCACGCACACTTGGCTGTCACTATCGCAGCCAAACACTTCACATATTTGATGGTGCAGAAATGGGAAAAAAAATTGACGGCATGTTAAAAGTGAACGTCAGATATTAGCGCACACCTTTTGCTTCTCAGCTAAAAGCACAGCTGCGAGGCAGGTCAGGAGACGCATCAACAGCTTCTTTTTTTAATCACTCCCAGAATGTCAAGTTGAAAGCTTAACAGGAAACAAGGTTCAATATCCAAATCCTTGCACAGCAGGGCACGGGAAACAGAGGACTGGCTTCACGTTCCAAACACAGACATGCATAAAAAGAAAAAGTCAAGAAAAAAATTTGCAAAAAATATCCTGAATATTTGTAGCCTATATTTCTGCTCTTTGTCAAAAACTTCTAATATGCAAAAATATTTTTAGTGTATTCTGTAATCTTTAAAATCAGCACCTCAAGTAGTCTCCAAAGCAAATCAAGTCAGCAGCGTGCTGCTGTTTCCCGAGGAGGGAAACTGCCTGAGAGCATTAGACACTCATTATCCTCTGGATAAACAAAGCAGTAAACACATTATTTACTGGCATTTGTTATGTCAATAATGTTCATCATTATTGGATTAAGTCGGAATTAGTGCTATATTTAGAGAAATCAAAGTGTGAAAAGCTGTTCAGTCAATTTTAACTTTCAGCTGTTCTTGTCTTATAGTCAAAGGCTCGTAATTTGGCTGATTGTGTGTAAACTGTATAATTAATTGTTTGGAGACATATGATCACACGCTGCGCATGCTAATGTGGAAACCGTAAGAAAATCTCTTCATTCACTTCAGATAACAGCTGTATTGTGTCACTGTAATAGTCAGTTTTTGTTACATAATTTGCCAGTTGTAGCACGTTCATCTACAATGGGCTAATTGAATTATGAGCTCTTTATCCACTGAGCACCAACACACCGAGCTCTCCGTTTATCACTAATAACCTGATTATTGAGCCTTCGCTGTGGAATTGAATGTGACTGAATCCTAATTCCTTGAACGTGTGAGTGCGCGCTCATGTTTTTCACATCTCTGGGCGCAGATGCGAGGTGTAGCATTGTGCCCCGTGAATACCTGTTTTTTGTCTGTGTGAATAGGAATCAACCTGTGGCCACGAGGAATGAATCAATGCACTCAGCTATCTGTGGAAATACATGCAGTTTAATGTGCATTTTTGTGTGCGTGTTACACGTTACTATGCATTTGTATCCGCTTGTCCCCTCTGCAGCTGTTACAGAGAGAGGCAGAGTGCAAGCTGTGATGATAAATCCAATGTTAAGTGTGTCCAGCGTCTCTCCAAACGAAACCCTGGCAGTCGGTAATTAACTCCATTCTGTTTAGAGGTTGAATTTTTTTCAGTTGCAGGAAGGGAAACGCCGCTGTCTCAGCGTTTAATTAACAATCTGCTTCCCTCCCACACCCTCTTCTCTCTGCACCATTTCATCTATTATCCAACAGAGACTTGAATGGGGAAGAAGAAAAAGAGAGAAATTACTCATCCTTCTCACTGTGTGCGTCTTGCTTTTGTCAATTTCTTCTCACCTGTAGCTCATCAAACTTTTCCTAATACCTCCAAAGTATTTAGACAATTTCAGGAACGAACTAGCTAAACTTGGGGCACTGCATCCTGAAATAATTACCTAAACTCCTTACACATCAGACAGTGCATAAAATGCAACAAGCAAATTTTTTCTTCTTTTTTCATATGTTGTTTTTATTAATCCCTCAAACCTACCTTACATGAATTTCACAGCAGTCATTTCTGCTTCTGCACAAACTGTGTTGTTGACTCTGTAAAGGTTTGCACACATTCACTGATAAACCCGTGCATTTTATAATATTGCTGTACTACATGAATAAAAGTACAAGGTCACTTAGATCTTACACTTGTATGGGCTGCTCAGCCATGGAAACCCATGCCATGAAGCTCCTGGCTCACAGTTTCATTGCTGATGTTAATGCCAGAGGATGTTTGGAGCTCTGCAGCAATGCAGGTTGGTGACTTTATCACACTATGCAATCAGTCCTGATTTGGTTTGCAAATGCTTCTACTTGGCAATAATACCATTTGTTGATTGTGGAGCATCTAGAAGGAGGTGGCCTCCTATTACAGTACCAGACTTGAAATCAGTGACCTCTTTAGAACACCCCATTCTTTCACAGATGTTTGTAAAGTCAGACTACATGACCTGATTTTAATCACTTGTGGCAGTAGAACTAAAAACACCTGAATTAAAAAATTAAGAGTATACGTGGTTCAAAACTTTACAGCCATTCCCAAAAGTCAAGAGTACTGCAGCCCACTTAAAAACCAGAAAGTCCCATTAAAGCCCACCCAATCTTAAGTCTTCACGACAAAAGAAACTGATGCATTTACTTGAAAAATATAGTAAAAAACACATGAACAACACAGGCTGCTGACTATAAATCACTACTGCTACCCAGTCATATGCAAAGTGTTAAGGCCAATGAATGAAATTTCTTCATGGCTAGTGACTGGTGTGTGTGTATGTGTGCGTGTATGCATAGTTCTGTGTTAAACATGACTGGGGTAATAAAGTGAAACAAAGGCAATAAAATCCGACTCCCTTTCTGTAATAATTGTTCCATTACAATACAGTCGCATTATCCTCCAAGCAGCCTGCAAGTGTGTCCTGATAATTTTGAGAGACACACATGCCCTATCAGCTGTTACTATTAGCACAGGATTAAACATGGTTGGATCAAATGCGAGGCTCTGTGTGGTCTACAAATCCACAAAGAAAGAAATTAATTTCTTTCTCCAGCTTGGTATTTCCTTGATAAACCCTGTCTCCGGACTCCCACTACATAAACACTTGCCAATGGATTGTTACTATGGAGAATACTTAGACACATGCACACACTCTTTCTTTCTCTCCAAACCTCATTAGCACACACTTTAAAATTAGAAGTTGCCCTCTGCTTCTGTTCATGAGTGGGGGTACTGTGATATAGGCCCTTTGAAGTCAATGATTTTTTTCTTTTGTGTATGTGTGGTGGTGCATGTGCACTTGGCTTTTTAAACAATGCTTGTGTAAGTTCTGTACTTACTAACATGGGATCTTACCAATTTTTTTATATGGGTTTTTTTTTGTGCTGTTTTTCATGTGGTGCGCAAATTTTTTTGTCCCACACAATGTGTGTCTT